TGCCATCTGAAGAAGCCCACCCAGGAACCTGGCTCCACAAATCTCAGGTTTCAGGAAGATTCCAGCCAACAATGATCCTTGCCTCTTACTCTCCCTTGACCTGGACTAGAAATGAACTCAGCCTGTTCCTCATCTTTAGGTCAGTCTTTGAGGGCCAGGGCACTTCGTCCAAGGTTATATAGAGACCAGAGTCCTGAGATCAAGGCCCACCAACTCTGGTATGAATCCACATCACTCATACATACAAAGCATCATAAGCTTTACAGAGCACTTTCACATGTTATCTTTTTTTTTTTAATCCTCACCAGAGGATAGGATATTTTTTTCATAGCTTTTTCAGAAAGTGAAAGGGAGGAGAGAGTGGGGGAGAGTGGGGAGAGGGAGGGAGGGACGGAAGGGGGAGGGAAAGATTGAGAGAGAGAGAGAGACATCGATTGGTTGCCTTCCGCATGTGCCCGACCAGGGCCTGAGATGGGGCCTGCAACTGAGGTATGTGCCCTTGGCTGGAATCAAAACCGGGACCCTTCAGTCTGCAGGACAACGCTCTAACCATTGAGTCAAACCAGCCAGGGCACATGTTATCTTTTTTGATCCTTACAACAAGCCTGTGAGGCAAATATTATTCCCCTGATTCTGGCTGGCCCATATGTCCAGCAATGCCTCTCTTCTGCGGCCTGATACTTCCCAGTGAGCTGGCCCCAAACTACAACTGAGGAGAGCAAAAATGGTTTGAGTCAGGAAGAACGTATGAAAGGAGCCTGGTGGTAAAAACAATCAGGGGCAGTGGGCCCCAGGGGCCCTAGGACCCAGATCCCACTAAAAGCCCCATTATGATCCCACCTTCTCTGAAGCCTTCATAATAAAAGGTAAACTACATTGGTCTATTCCAGCACAGAACCCTTCATCTCATAAACACCAAAACAACAGTTGCCAGTTTATTGTTTTTCAAAAAACAACAAAAACATAATCAAAATCACATTGTGGTGAATGCTGAGCTGATGTGGCTGACCAGGACTGTCTCCCAGGTTGTTTCATGGAACATCAGGTGCACTGGGGGGTGGGCTCCTGCCCCAGCAGAGATGGTACTGGGGTGGACATCAGAAGAGCTGCAGACCAGTTTTGAGCCCGTGCAGCTGGCCTTGGCTCCAGAGAAGGCCCTCCAAGTTGTTGCTGCCGTTGCTACAGTTGCCACTACCGATGCCACAGCTCAGGCCCAAGGTGCTATGGAGAGGTGGGACAGTCAGGGAAGGAGTAGGCTCTAGGCTCTGGAAGGGCTAAGGATGTTTGTGTACCTATGGGAGGGGCCCACTGTCCTGCCTGGATTCACACAGAAGAGACTAGAGCAAATCTAAGAAACTACTTCAGATAGCCCCCAGGGGTTGCTCTGTCCTCCCCTCAATTGAGGGAGGAATGGGAGGAATAGAACTTTTCAAATTAAACTTTACACAGAGCCCCAGTATATAAGCCAGATTAAAGCAGAGATATTTGGGCTGAGGTAAGAGGGGGGACCTGCACCACCCCACCCACAGGAAGATATTGAAAGTGGCTGCCTTAACAGGCCTTCTCCCTAGGCTCTAGAGTTTGGGAGCCCAGAGAGCCCTGGGCTGGCATCCCTCCCACCCCAACAGCTTGTTAAGGGGCCCAAGACCAACCTTGGGCTATAGGACTAGGCCCAGCTCCCAACTCAGGATTTCATCATTGCTCTAGGGGTACACTTCACCCTCCCCTTCCCTGGCCCTGCTCAGAATACTCTGGCTTCCCCTGCTTCCTGCAGGTCGAAGGACCTTCCAGGTAGATGAGGGTGACAGCTGAGAGCAAAGCCATCATCCCTCCCCTCAGGCAGATCCATGGTTACACTACAGCATCTGAAAAAAACATTACAGATGATCTAGTCCCATCCCCTCCCATTACCCACCAATTTACAAACAAGGGAACTGAGGCCCAGAGATGAAAAAGAACTTGCCCAAGGCACAAAGCCAAGTCAGGGGTGGGAATGCCTGGTACAGTGGAGGAAGCCTCCCTACTACAGGGGGTGTGGGAGCTGGCCTAAATTAGCTTCCTTCTGGAATGAGTTCCACCTGCCCACACTTCACCCTTGGTACCCGGTATTCACCAATCCAGCATTACCAAAGGGTAGAGGAGATCTCTCTCTCTCTGATATGTGGGCCCCTCTCAACGATACACCATCTGGTTTCCCCAGCTGCCTCCTCCTCTCTCTCCAAGAGGCCTGCTGTCCCCTGGCCTCGGACAGTGAGTTGATGGCACTGCTTGGGCCTGGTGAGCTGCTGGCCTCAGAGTTCTACAACCCTCTCCACTAATGTCCAGAGGAAAAGGGGCTCATCTCCCAGGGAGTGGGCAGGCAGCACAAGGATAGACTCTCAGTTTCAGGGGCCCACAGAGATCTCTCTCTGGTACTCACAGGAGTCCCCCAGTCACAATGGCCCTGCATTCTGGAACATACAGGCCCACAGGATGGGCTCCTTTGTGTTACCACCAGCAGAGCCCCTCAGCAAGGGCTGCTTGGTTCCTGCCTCCCTCATGACCCAAGAGTTTCCCACGCCTGTGATACAGAGGTGAGTCTTGAGGGAGACCATGAAGCTCTGTGCAGGCCTTGCTACCAAGATGCCTGGACAGTGTGGGGATTACTCTGCACACCTTTAGACAAATCCTTTCCTCTTTCTGGGCCTCAGTTTTCTCCTCAGAAACCTGAGGAAGTTGGATTAGAGTATCTGTTCTTGACCTTTTGGGAATGGTAGACCCTTTAGAGAACCTGTTGAAAGCTGTAGAACTTTCTCCTCCCAAAATGCATGTGCAGGCGTGCACACACGTGCGTGCACACACACACACACACTTACACACGGACAAAAACGTGATGCAATCTGAGAGGGGAGCCAAGCCACTTCTGCATGGCTCCTTCACTGATTCCCCTCACTAGGGGCTGGGAGCCCTTACAAGGGCCCAGTCAGAGAATGGAGCTATACTTAACTCATTTAGGCCCTGACTGGGGACAACTACCTTCCTCACTCACTCCACTTTGTGTCCTCCCCCTCCCTCTCTTCCTCCCTCCTGCAGGAGGCAGAGAAAGGGGTGAGAAATCCTGCTGCCATGGACACTCACCCCATCTTGCATGTTGGGGGTTCCAGCCGCTGCTCTAGCACAGGCTGGTCCAAAAGATACATGGTGTCATAATTCTCCAGCATAAGCTCTGCTGGGTCCTCGGTCTGACCTGGCATTAGGCCTAAGGGGAAGGTGTCCCACCGCACATCGTCTGTGGAGCAAAGGGAGGAGGCAAGAACAGGTTGATTGGCTAGTTCTCAGACTGGTGCACAGGCCTACGTCTCCAGTCTACCCACCCACCTCAATGAGCCCACTGGGCATTGGCTCTGTGTATCTCTAGCCTCATTCCTCTCTGTATCACTTCTCCTGAGCTCCTCTCCACCTTAGCACCTCTTACCCCTTCCACACTCCCCCATACATGCTTTATGGCCCTTCTTCCTCTTTGTGTTCACACACACACCACCACAACCACCACCACCACTACCTACCACCACCATCACTACCACCTACCGCCACCCCCACTTCCCCTTCTCCGCACAACATGCACAGAACTACAGATACTTTTGTTCCTCTCCACATTTCTCCCATGTCCTCAGACATGCCCCTACATACATCTTCAGACCTGGCTGTATCACTATGTAAAGCTCTCACCCTCACCCCTATTTCCACACACACATAAGTCCTGGAAAGTCTAGGCACCCTAGAATTTCCACACCTCCTCCCCAAACCCACAGACACCTCAGAGTATCTGAATGATTTAGATTTCCTACATATATACACACAAACTCCCTGACATGCTCAAGGCCACACCAATTCTTAGTGGCATTGCCTTGTGACATTTACACACCACCTCAGTATGTACTCCCTCTCAGAGATATTATGCTACCCCATGCCCTGCAAGATCTTACTGCCCCCAGCTGCACACACAAAGAACATCCCTTCTCTAGAGAAGGGCTGTCTCACCGCATACATATCCCAGCCCCTACCACCACCTATGTGCACACAAGCACACAGACCAAGTCCTCTGTTCAACAGATGTTCTGTTTTACTCCACCTCCTACACCTCTCATTCACAGGCACACAACCCAGAAATCTTAATGTCACTGTATCCTCACATGTGTATGCACACAGAGGAAGCAATGGCAAAGGGGAAAGGGAAAGGTTTTAATGGCTTAGCCTTTCCATGTTCACAAACTATTCCTTACTTCCCCCACCCCACACATACTCCACAGAGAATGGACTATGTCTGGCACTCTCCACCCCCTGTGCTCTATCACTTAAACACCCTCCACACAGTATTATTACTAAATCCCCGTCCCCATCCCCACACCAGTACATCCAGTGTTTTCAAGCAAAGCCTTCAATAGTGAGCTTCTCCAAGTTGATACAGTTTCTGGCCTTCTGCATCTTCCTGGTATCCAAAGAATTCTCCCTGTCATAATGCCCCTAGCATTCCTGAAAGTACCAACTCTGGACTAGCTTTTTATGTTACCCAAAGAAGCACCTCAGGAAGGGCTGTTCCCCTGCCTGCCTATTTCCCCACCCCTTGCCCTTTACAGGAAGGAAGTTGTGCCTGCCTTGATGCCCTGCATTGCCCTGTGCATACAAAGACACCTTCGTACACAAGGACCCTACCCCCACGTCACTGACCTGACCATCCTTCCACCCCATCGCTAACATCCACAACCCTGTCTATATCACTGTCCCTGCCTCTCTAGCCTGACACCCTTATACATGTTCCTTCAGTGACAGCATGGACACACTTAGGCGATCTCTGAATGGCTGTCTCACTACCTGTTTTCATGTCTTTCCACATCCCACCTCAGTGCTGCCACTTTTCTGCCTCATACAGATACCTCCTGGCAACCCTGCCTCCTCTTTGAAAAACATGCATGACTATGTGTGCATGTATATCTTGAAGCATGTTCAATGATTTCACAATCTCTTTTCACAGCCCCCTTCTCTCTCTCTCTCTCTCTCTCTCTCTCTCTCTCTCTCTCTCTCTCTCTCTCTCTCACACACACACAGCCTGTGTCAATTCCCCTCACTATCAATAAGCATGTTCTTTCACCCCTACCACTCAAAGCCTTTATGCCTCAGCCCTTCCACGCATGTCCACACAAGGGCAAAGGCACCACCTTTTCCCCTAAGTTCCTCCACTCCCTCCCCTCTCTCTCCCTGTTGTTCGCTACCATGCCCACTCTACACCACACCCAGTCCCAGTTGTTTTCCCTCCCTCAGGTTCCATCACACAGGCTGTTCCCCATATCTAAGTATGTACGCATACACACATGCCCACGCACACACGCCAGATTGTTCACTCCTTTGGGGTCTCCCTGCCTTAAGATTCCTGCTCCCTACCCTAAATGAGGGCACTCAAAGGACCACCCTCAGGAGGTACAGGTTCATGTTCACTCACTCTTTTTTTTAATCCTCATGTGAGGGTATTTTTTCCATTGCTTTTCAGAGAGTGGGAGAGAAAGAGAGACATGGATGTGAGAGAGACACATTGATTGGCTGCCTCCCTCACGAGGGCCAGGGATGGAGCCTGCAACTGAGGTATTTGCCCTTGGCTGCAATCAAATCCGGGACCCTTCAGTCCACAGGCCAACACTCTAGCCAATGAGCCAAACTGGCCAGGGCCCCCCACTTTCTTATCACACAACTCTCCCAGCTTTGTCTCACTAACATGTGCTCACCTAAAACCCATGTCACTCCTTATTCTCACTATTCTGATCTCACTTCCACTTCCTCTGACTTAATGCCTCTGGGTTCCTTCTTTCTCATACACACGGCAAAATCCTGTCTCATGACCACCCAGCCTGCATGTGTACATAAACATTCACATATACACAAAAAGCCCTCCTTTGTCACTCTGCCCCTGCATCACTGCATGACATGAAAAACACGTGCAGAATCAGACATATACCCACTTTCTACCTCTCACTTTCTCCTCTATGTCTTACTGCACAGGGCCCATACCTATATCATCCCCTCTGAATGTGCTCTCTGCATGAAGTAGCTGGCAACATGACAGTGCTTAGGTCCCTGGCACCTACATGCTTTGTCCTAAGGGGGAGGGAAGAAAGCTGTCATCCATATACTAGGCTGCCTCCAAGGCTTGCCTCACATGTGCTACCTCCTGCTACTTTCCATTTCTTCTCTGGGATGGAAAAAAGCCTCAAGAGGCAGCCTGAGAGAACAGATGGGTGTGGGGAGAATGTGTATATCAGGCTTCTTACCCGAGCTAACTTGCCATGCAGAGCCCTGCAGCGCTCCTCTTTTCTGAGCCAGGAGCCTGGCATTCTCAACAGTGGGGGATTCCTCCTCCAAAGAGAAAGTCCCCACCTCCATTCTGTCTTCCTCCTCCTCATCTTCATCATCATCATCATCATCTTCATCATCCTCCTCCTCCCACTTCTCTCGGTCATCATTTTCCTCTTCCTCCTCTTCTACCTGGTCTTCCAAGACCTCTTTCTCCTCCCTCTCATCTTCCTTGACATCATTAAGGCTGCCCTTCTCCTCCTGCTGCTGGGCTTCTTCTTCAGGCCTGGAGCTGGAGCCAACTGGTTTGAGGTTCCAATACAGGCTGTCCAGTGTGTATGCGTACTTCCCAATGGGGGAGGCCTCTGAGCCCTCCTCCACCAGGCTGTTTTTTCCATTCTGGGTATAAATGGAACAGATGTGCAGCAGCTTCTTCTGCTCCTCATCTGGCAGAACCTGGCCCATGGCTTTGAAGATGCTGAAAAAAGGAAAGGATGGGGTAAAAAGTTTCAGAACCTCAAGTCACTACATATCCACCACTCCACAGTTTAAACTTGCCTCTGAACTTCCATACCTGCCTCTAAAAGGCAGTTCAATAGAACAAACAGAACACAAAAATAAGACTATGGACCCTGAACAAGCTTTGGGATTCATCTGTGTGGCTCAGTAGAATGAGGACAATAATGGCACCTGACAGAATGACTGGCACAGTGCCTGGCACATAGTGGGTATGCAATAAATGATAGCTATTATTAATCTGTACTAAAATGCTATGTAAATATACAAACTAGTGAATAGGCCTACAGGGCTGGACATGGGGAGATCTGCTTGCCTACCTGAGGAATCTGTCCTGAGCTCCAAAAGTATGCCTAGAAGTGTGCTGGCCTCCTTCTAAGTGGAACAAAAGTACAATCCCTCTCTGGCAACAACTACAGCCCAGCCTGGAATGGATTAAAAAAAAAGCAGCAGTTGACAAGACAAAGCAGGATGTGGGAGGGATGCCAGATGAGCCCTGAGGACGTCAGGCACTACTGGAGCTTGGGGGAGGAAGAAAGCACAAAGATGGCAGGAGAGATCAAGGGAGGACTTTGTGCAGAGACAGGAGTGAGCACACTGTGCTGTGTGTGTGTGGTGAGACAAGTCTGGCTCAAGGGGAAGGGCTGTACTGAGGAGCTGTGGGAGAAGAACAGGCTGCAAAGGTTAAGTGTGTGTGTTGGGCAGAAGGGGTCACCTGATGACTGAGCACAGGTGAGCGCTGCGTTTCTGAAGATCACCATGGTGCCAGTGTGGAGGATGGCCTGGATGTGGAAGCCTGGAGGCAGGGAAACCAGGAAGAGTCAGTAAAGGTTGACCTAGGGCACTGGTAGTGGAGATGGGAGGGAGAGAAGCTGTGAAGGACAGACAGAGAGCAGGGCTTGATGACCAGATAGCAGGAGTCAGCCTGAGGGGAGTTAAAGATGATGACACGGTGCACACAAAGGACAGTGTAACAGAAAAACCACCAACAGATACACACCCACTGGGAAGGAGAGCTCCTGAGGAAGAAGAGGGTGAGCATCACTTGCAGAACCTCACATAGAACCAGGCACCTAGCAGGTACCTGGTCACTGCTGGAGGCATGGGTGGGGTGGACAGATGAATAGTTTCTTCTAGGTGTATCAAGTTTGAACTTTGGGCCGTTCATGAAGAGGCTGTATAGTCTGAGGGGGCTGTTCTTTCTCTGAGCCCCACAGGCAGACTGGCCACATATGAATAGTCTCCAGTCACTGGTCACAGGGCGCAGGGCTGGGGGCTAGTTACTCTACTGGGAGACCTTCTCTGCAGGGCTAATTTCATATTCCAAGAGGACTCTGGCTCAAATTGAATCGATATTGGCTGGCTGGGGGAAGCTCTTGGAAAGCTTCCAGTCTTATTAGAGGAAAAGCCAGAGAGAAACTCTCTTTCCTCTCACAGTGGCCCATTAGTATGATTAATAATAAATATTCCCAGGCACTTGACATTGGCAAGATGCCATATCACTGCTGTTTATTATTACCCACCTGCTATCTCAAGCTGTCTAGTCTGACCAGTGAGGTGCAGGGGTGATATGAATCTTAAAATGCATCTCCTTCCTCAGGTTTGCTGAGTCACAGGTCAGGTTGGTGGAAAGAAGGTGGACTTGGGACTCACAAGACCTGTGTCCAAATCCCTGCCCCACCATCAACGAACCATGTGACTTTTGGATAAGTCACTTCATTCCTCAGAGCCTCAATGACTTTGGTATCTGTGAAATAAGAGTATTACACCTCCATCTTCAAAGACTGCTGTGCCAAATGAAATAACTTCTACAAAAAACACAGTACCATGCCTTACATGTAATTGCCAGTGGTATCTTTTATTTTTCCTCTTGGGGAAACAAAAGCCAACTTCTCTATGTGTCTAATAACACATGCTTTTTGCAATAGTGCCATCTAATGGAACACCGTAGAAAGAGCACAGGAGTAAGGACAGGATATCTAAGATTCGGGCCTCAGCTCTGACTTGCAGACTTGCTACTGACTTGCAGCATAGTACCTGGGTAAATCCCATTTCCCAATCTGTGTAATGGGGTGATTCAGACTAGATTCATTTATTTCTCAGAAAAGCAGGATCTGTGCACGAGAAATCGTACCCAAGTGAGCCGCTGTTACTGCTGGCATGTGTCGTATCCCTCTGGTATGCTTGGGTTGGGAGATCCCTCTGGTCCAGACTTCTCCAAGACCAGCAGCTTCCACTCTACAGGCACTTAGGATTGGAAAGTACCTTGAAGGCCACCTATCCGAACCTCTCCATGCTGCTCTTTTGATGCCCTCCCTCCATTACATACACATGCTGTCCATGTTCCTTCTGGCTTTGAAACTTCCTTTATTCTTATCTGGGCTCAAATTGCTCCAATGCCTCATCTGTGATGCTTTCCTGACTCTTCTAGGCCTTTCTGGTTCTTCTCCCAGTTTCCCACCCATCCATATCACTTCCAGTCTAGAGCATACACATCTGGAGATTTGGCTCTTTGGTTCAGTCCCATCTCCTGCAGGTCTTGCCCTGGCTGACTTCGTCTATAAGGCTACTTTTTCTCTTATAAGCTATAACTTATAATAATATAAGCTACTATTCATAAGCTACTACTGTGCCCCAAAAGGCATCAAGGCTCAAGAAAGACTTTCTGACTCTATGGGGGCCATCAGGGGACTAAGAGGGTCTTGGCATCCAGATTCCCACTTCATTCATTTCCCAGGCATGGAGTTAGCTCCCACCAAAGACAGCACTGCTGGCGACAACAGCAAAGTATACTTTAATTCAACATTTACTAAGACCTGTTTGGGGCCTGGACCTGTGTAGAGTGCTAAGGCACAGATGGCTAATGCAGAGCTCTTGCCCTTGAAAGGCTTAGTCTGACAGAGAGAAAGAGACACTAGGGGAAATAGATATGGCAATACAAAATCTCAGATTTGGGAAATACTTGAGAGTGTCAACATGACAGGATAGATAGTGCCAGCACCAAGTGAGATAGGGAGAAAGGAAGAAGACCACTTTGGCGTTGGGGTGGGGAGTGAGATGATCAATTCTCTTTTAGTCACAGTAAGGTGACTGTGGGCCATCCAAGGGGAGATGTCTGACATGCTGTCAAATATAGGAGGTTGAATCTTGGGAGAAAAGCCTGGGTAACACAGAGATTTGGGCCTCAGCACTTTATAGGAACCAGTAAAAAAGCAAAGGCATTTCACAGACGGACTGGTAAACAGCATCAGCGCAGCAGGCCCAGCAATGGACAAGGGCCCACTGGATTTGGTAATTAGGTCAAAGCAGCTCTGGGGGTGAACACCAAATTGTGACTGGTTGAAGAGTAAGAGAGTAGTGAGGAAATCGAGATTTGTTTAACGCAGATTATTCTTTTGAGGCGTTCTGACGGGAGAGAAAGGAGTGACAAGCTGGTGATAACCCAACAGAGGGATGCAGGGTCAAAGGAGGTTTTGCTTGTGTTGTTATTGTCATGTTCTTTTAAGAAGAGATAAACTCAGGCACAATCATAGGTTGAAGAACAAGAGCCAGCAGAGCAAGGGAGAGGATGGGATGAGGCCCCAGTGATACTGGCAGAAGTGGCTCCAGAGAACACGTGTAGGGGCAGGTTCTGAGGCAGGGGAAGGCCACCTGATCCTTGGACTGGCGAGTAGGTTGAGTATAGCTGCAGATCAGTTCATGAGGAATGAACCTTGGGTCGAGGGGCCCTGAAGGATGCCTCCATGTGCTTGAGGAAGCTAGGGTGAAAGGTGAAAGGGGGAGGGGCTTGAGGTGTGTGGTAAGGATTTAAAACAGTCAGGAAAGAGAAAAACGGGCAGAAAACAAGTACAAGTTAAGATTAGCAGAACTGAGGTCTGGCCTGAAATTTAAAAATCATTATCTGCAGTGGCAGCAATCCGCAGAGCTATATGGTTTTCTCCAGCAGGGCTCAGCTCCCTGGGCTGAGGAATAGGGGAAGCAGAGCGGGGATCAATTCTAGCTCGGGGGTTTGCAAGTCAGATACACCAATGAATGGGCAGAGCCAGGGGTGCTGATGAGTGGCTGAAGTGAACAACCACAGGACTGAGAGGAAGCAAGGTCGAGAGAGGGAGGAAATGAAGGGATGGAGGTCTGGATGCAGGCAAAGGGAAGATGCCATGGGATGTGAGGGTGAGGACTGGAAGGACAAGAGATGGTGGTCACTGAGTGGGATGTTGCGATGTCAGCTTTCAGAGATGGAACAGCTCTAAGTGATGGAAATGGGTTGCTGAGTGTCATGGAGAAAGAAGATCACTGGAGTTGAGGAGCTGCAGAGAGTCAGGTGGGTCACTCAAATGAAACAGATATTGCTCCAGAAAGCAGGAAGAGAATAGAGTGCTAAAGCCTTCCATGAGTGTGAGGGAAGTGGCTTGGGGTGAGGAAGGGAGACACCACAGGTGTTTACAGAAACCACTGCAATATTCAGTTTGACCACAGCGCCCAGGGTGGATTGCATAAAGGGGAATCACATGAGGGGGGGTTACCATGATAGATTGGCGGAATCAGAAAGATCTTTGAATGTCATCTAAGAAGTCTAGGTGTCATCAGGAAGGCAATACAGAGCCACTGAAGGTTGCAGAGCACCTATAGGAAGCATACTTTGAGAAGACAATAAAGGAGACAACACTGAGCTTAGACTCAGAAGACTGGGTTCAATAAAAAACAGCAGCTACCATTTATTGTGCACTTACTCTGTACAGGCCACTGTGCTAAGCACTCTAAGGAGGTTGTTTCATCCATTCTCATACTGGGTTCAGTTCTTCCATTAGTTAGTAGGAAGGAGAGAGGACTAGGTGTTCTTGCAAGTGCCCATCTAACTCTGCCATTCTAACTCTGAGGCTTGCTGTGCCTCACCCTCTTAATAGATGGAATTAAGAGACTTACAGCTGAAGGAGATGGGGGCTGGCCCAGCAAGGTGAGCCCAAGCAGGACTCAACCACCCGGGGCCAGTCAAGTGAGGCAGAGCAGTTGAATAGCCTCCAGCTCTTTCTTGCTTCCCACTGGACTGCAGAAAATCGGCGGGCATTCCGTCCTGAGAGAGAAGAAAGGGCCTGAGGAGAAGGAACCAGTAAGACCCCACCCAACCTTGTACTTTGAAAAGCTTGACTCTGTCCCTCCCCACCCCACCCCCAGACTCTCCACTCTATACCACCCAATTGTTAAAAGCATTCTGAAGGCCCTTTGCCTCCAGCTCAGTTTAGTTGGCTCTGAGAAGAAAAGAGGCTGAGGGAGATTTGTCCACTGTTGCCGCAATGCCCTTAGACAAACCTAAATCTTTAACAAGGGATGTATCCACCTGGTGCTATTTAGCTGAGCTGAGAACAGTGGCAGATGCTCTTATCTGGGCTGCATTAGGCCCTGGGCTAGGGCTAGTGTCCCTCACCAGTCTTGGTGTTAGCCACGATCAGTTCAACAGTCCATCTGAGGATGTAGGTGGGCCGGATCCCACTGTTCCCCAAGGCTGGCAGCTCAGAGAGCATCCTCTCTAGCATGGCCTGCGTGAAGGTCTGGGAGTGCAAGCCCCTGAGCAGGGGCTGCCAGAATTGAGAGAACGGCTTTGGTACCAGGATGTCATTGAAGTCCATGTTTTCTGGTTATAAGGGCCACGCATTGCAAGAGAAAGTGGAGGCATGGGGGTACAAAAGGAGACAAGGAGGGGCAAGGAGAGGAAAGGAGAGAAGGATGGAGGAAGAGAAGGGAGAAAGGGAGGGTTGGAGAAAGAGGGAAAAGGAGAGGGGGCCCCACAACCAACAAAAACAGAGTTGCCATCGCAGAACAGGAGGAAAGAGGAGAGCAGAACAGCAGGGAGAGAAACTAGTTAGTATCTGACAACAAACAATTGACTCAAAACAGTATAAAATAAAAAGAGCTCTGGTTCTAGCTTCAGCTCTGTCAATAACTCACTGTGTGACTTTGGGTCAGTACCTTCCCCTCTCTGGACCTCAGTCTGCCCATCTGTAACATGAGGATGTTGAACTAGATGACCTCACAAGGCCCTTCCAGTTCTGCTGTTCTAGCTCTCTAGTAAGTGGCTAAATCACAATTAACACAGCACAATAATGGCATTAAGACTCCCCCCAACCCAACCCAACCCCACCCCACACAATTCCAGGCCACCTAAGAAAAGCCCAGTAGGGCTTATAAGTGAGGCTACCTCTTCTGCTCAGCCCAATGGGGCTTCCAGAGGCTATGGAATGGCAGGAAACAGCCTTTTGCCCCCAGCCCAGGGCCACCCAGCCTACCCCTGGTGTTCTTGCCCAAAAAACACAGGACCCTAGGCAGCAGTGAGCCCCCAAGACCCTACCTTCATACTCTATCTGCAAAGCTGCCAACTGCTCAAATGTGGGGATGAGAAAGCCATCATCCAGAAAAGCATCCAGTACAGCTTCCCTGGAGAAAGATGGCACTCAATTAAACAAACTGAAGCAGGCAGAAGACCCTCTCCTACTCCACTACCCACTCCCAAGGCAGCTAATGCCTCTGGCTCAAGTAGTCAAAGCAGCATGGGAAAAAAAAAGAGAGAGAGAGAGTTGATAGTTGGCTCTCAGGCCTCAGCCTCCTGGGGCAGGAGCTGGGCCAGGGACTGGGATCAGTGGGTTTTGACCAAGCATTTACTAAGCACATGCTGACCTAAGGCTCATAATGAGGGCAGCAGTGACTGAACAAGCCTGAAAGCACAGATGGAGAAAAGTCTCAGGTCCACAGAGGAGTTAAACGTCTAGAGTCAAAGAGTCAAGGGATTTTACACTTTAGTTCCTGCTCAGACTATGTCTCTGGACAGTGCTCCAGTCTCCTCCCCTCCCCTCCTCCCAAGGTGCTCTCTTTCATATCCTGGAAGCAGAAACTTTGAGGATTCAATTGCTGGATGAAATATGATCCTTATTCCTAGGGACCCCAAGAACCCAGAGCTAAGTTCTATAACTTAGAACTTAAGGTCGAAAGTGTAGGCGATAGAAGTAATTTCTCACCCCCATCTAGCTCAAACTGAAACCAGCAACAGCCAGGGGTCTCCTCCAGAGCTAGCAGTTTCCCAAGAGATGCTCTCCTAGCTGAAACAAGAGTTCCCAAGGTGTCTCAACACCTGGAGAGTTATCATGCTCAGATCCCGCCCTCCACCAGGCTGGAGAAAGAAAGAGTTGTCTGTCCTTCTAGCAATCTTCCATCTCCTCAGGTCAATATCCAGGAAGAGCACTTAAAACAGCCTGCCAGCTGCCTGCTCAGCGCAACCAGGCAGATACTGTATAGGGGCACGAGGAGAGATTTCCCAGCTGCTGAGGGGGCCACCACCCACCCCTTTGCTGAAGGGTGCAGCCAAGAAGCCTAGGCTGGGCAAATACTGATAAAACATCTTTGAACCTAGTAGTATCTTGGAAGTGAAGAAGACTCCAGGGGCAACCCCAATCTTCACTGCAGGCTCCCACCCAGGCCTACTCTGCCACCTACATACCATCTTCCTGCTCCATCCCAGATTCATTCCTCTCTCTAGCTGGGAAGGTGTAGCAATGCCTCCACAGGTTCTTGGTGGAAGGTTCCCCACAGTCCTTTCTAGCTGAATTTAGGTAGCAAGCCCCCAAGAGCTAGGAAGGAGAGGAATGGATAGACATTGTTTTTCTGTTCTGGATTGAACTGAGCACTATTTGGGGGGTGGGGGGAGAAGGCTTGTGGCCATACTGAGTGGGAAAGGACTTAGTCTTTTGATGAGCCAGGCCCTGGGAAGGCCCTTCCTGTTCCCCCAACCATAACTATCCAGGGGACTCTGATATTCTCCAGTAGAATTTCAAAAGAAAAGACGAGCAGTGCCCATTACATATCTTTTACCTCAAATTTGGACAAGGGCTAGGCAGCAAAGTGGTAAGGATTAAGGGCTTTTCCTAGAATCCAAGAGCTCCACATACCACTGCACAGAGAGACCTGGCTAGGAGACAAATGACAGGAGACGTCCTGCCTCTGGCCATTTTAGTGCAGGCAACCCCCACCTCGTACCTTGCAGAGCTAAAAGGAAAGGGTAATGCAGAATGCAGGATCACGCCATGGGGGATCAGAATTGCCCTGAGATTTCTTACAGCAGAGGTCGGCAAGCTGGGATATGGAAACTGATTTCAGTGAGGCTGCTACACTCTACCCTATAGAGTAGGCAGCCCCTGATTACTTCATTACACACCTGTTCTCCCATGTAATGCCCTTGAGTTCTGCCAGGATACAGTCTACAGGTGGGGACAGTTGATTCCACACCTTAACAGCCTGAGGTAAATGCCTAAATTTCTCCAGCACCTGCCAGCAAAGAGGGTCCCATCAGAAGGCTGGTTTAGCCAGGCAACCCACCCCCACCCCTCCAGGATCCCTTCCCATAGGACCTCTCAGCACCCTCCTTAAGGGGACAGGGCAGGGCATGCAGGGGTGGGCCCACCACTCCCCTATGAGACCTGAAACTAAAAATATCTTGACTCTCAAATACCAGATTTTCTCCTCTTCCTCCTCTTCCCCGCACCCTTGAATTCCCTGTGGCTCCCAATCACCAGATATTCTAATACTGAGTTAATCATTGGGGTATTTGGTTGGAGTTGGGCAGAGACCCTGGGTCAAGGGGTGAGGGGAATCAATGGGTTATGAAAGAGAATCTGGAGACCCAAGTTCTAATCCTAGTTCCATCACTAACTGCATATGTGACCTTGGGCCAGTCCATTATCCACGGATTCATCTGTGAAAAGCAAGGGTTGAGCTAAATGGTTTCTAAGCTACCTCACTTCCTGCTAAAAAGCAGCACCCCTCAAGCTCACCTGATCTAGGAAAGTTCTTGGGAGTCATCTGCTGATGAGCTACATTACTGCAGGGCTAGGCAATCACCTATGCCCAGTTGTTTCCTACCACTCAGACAGATTATCCACAAACTTCCATCATCTGCTCCCTTCCATCGGTGTGGAGATCAGCCAACTGGACTCTGCTCTTCTTGTCTCCTTCC